AGTTCAGTGAAACTGTGATTAAAAACTAATCACGTTCATATGGATCGTTTATCCACAGCATACCGACTGATATTTCCAAGGAAAACCGTTGAGAATTACGCCATCAAAGGAAATGCAGTTGGATCCAACCTCACCGCATTCACATTATGCTTTTTCGTTAAGCCGAACTACACGGCCCCATATGGTGCGCAGTGCTTGTACAGCTATGCAACCCCTGGAGTTGACAATGCAATATACGTTTGCCTTACTGATCCGAAAATCGACCTCCATGTTGGAAATGGGTAATTACTTTATGTGATAGAAAATGAGTTAACCCTATATATTTTCGGGGGAGAGGGAGATCGGAGAAATTGGGGCAACAGGTGCGCACTCTGATTTCAGACAACATTTAATTTGGTGATGTTTCCTAAGATCTATCTGGAAAAATGTTTGGTGTGACAACTGTTTGCTCACTTGTCTTGACGTTTCTATGGCACTGATATTTATAAAGGGTTCCGCCGAAATTTAGTGTCTTTCAAAACTGATCAGTGTCCAAGGGAAATTTTGGATTTTGGTAAGCTTTCAAGCCAAATCTTTAATTGTTTTAATCGGTTTCGGAGCTATTTTGTTTAAGATTTTTAAATCCATGATGGCGCGCGAATCCAAGATGACGGACTTTTTGAAATAGGATGCTATTTTTATTCCTTCTTTCTTTCCCCGGGAAGATTTATAATCTCGAAATCGTTTATAAAGGCATATAGTTGAGTTTAATCGGATGAAACAAAACACAAACCGCGGTGATAAACATGGAACCAAAACGCATGTTAAACAAAGTTAATTTCCTTGACGTTTCGTATGTACAACATACATCTTCAGAAGTGACCGTTAACTAGATTACAATCGAAATTTAAACGCGTAGAAAAAGAAAAAGACTGGTATCTAATAATATGTAACAAGACTAATAGTTAATAACAAACAGATGAGTCTGCGGGAGAGAAAAAAAAAATTACCATAGTAATAATAACAATACAAAATGTTAGTAAAGAAAACGTTTTTCACTGCCAACGTTTTCATTCAAGGCTGGCTTTAAATCACAAATTAACAATGTTTCCTTAATTTTACAATGTATATCTGACCTACCAGTTGCTAAGATATCAAAATTGTCCCATTTAATATTATGACCCGTGGAAGTAACGTGATCCGCAATGGCTGAGGTGTGACCGCTTTTAGCGTGACCAATTAGTGTGACCAATTGCTGGTTTTCGATTGGAACGCGGGCTCATGTCAGGTTAACTTGTTGAAAACAGGGCAGGATTGTTCGGAAGCCGGTTAAAACCCAGGATTAAAAGTTAATCGAATTATAACTTTTTCTCCTATACAAATGTTTTTTGTTGCTTTGTTTTGTGTATATAATGATCATTAAAACTCAAAACAGAGGGCCAAACAATATACAGAAAACCTCAAAATTCTACCTTTTCCTGGGTTAGTTCAGTCGGGCTTTGAACAACCCGTCCCAGGAGCTACGCTTTTAGACTCGCCTAAATCTATATATTATACCAAACTCAGGTATATTTAGGGCTGGGTCATCTATTCCGTAGGCAAGAAGTGAGGGGGTGGTCAATCTTGGAAACGGTTCATACAGTGTGGAAAAAACCTTGGCTACAGGTTACATCCCCATTTAAAAGATAAATTAACGTTGATTTTTTGCTTGTAATGTGTCACGTAACCAAATAAAAGGCCACTTCTGATTTAATTTTGAAAGCTTCTGCAGACAGCGAAAAACGTTCCTTTATCAACATTTTGTTCGATCTGTAGTCTTACTACTTACCTAAAAAACGTACCCAATGTAATTGGAGCGGTTGTCAAACCTTGCTGAAGCTCTCTGTAATTAGTGTGTATAAAGTTACATTAACGATAGGTCTTTGGTTACGTGACTTGGACATGCATTCCAATTACATTGGGTAAGGTTCTTGGGTAAGTAGTAAGACTACGCAATAAAATGTTGTTTAAGTACCGTTCTTCCCTGTCTGCAGAGGCCTTAAAATCTAAACCGGACGTGGGCTGTTATTTGGTCACGTGATTGGTTGCCATGGCAACAACACTATTAACTAAACTTGCTTTGGACAGTCGTTTACCATAGCTAAGTCAGTATTCTTTTGCATGCGTGGTTCTCCAGATAGACCTCCCCTGTAAGTTTTACACTGAACAACTAACCCACTCTTTAATATACCCGACAAGCGTCGCTAAAAGCCCAGGCAATCAGATAGCCTGATCGCAGTTTAGGGATTGTCTAGTTTGTTTGCGTTGGAAAGTGCGATAAATCGATATTATTATTATTTTTAGTTATTTCAAGGAATCTATTGCACAAAGTATAAGGAAATCAGTTTTTTTGGTGTAATCGATCATCTTCATTATTGCTGCACATTAAGATTCATCAAAGGAGTTGTTGTTATCCCAAAGCTAGAGGGTTTATTTACCAAAAGAACTGTATCGTTTTAATTTATCAGAATTCTTTAGCGTTTTGCTCGAACAAGAGTATTGTAACGAGTAAATGTTAAAATTTAAAATTTGATAATTATTCTTATTTTATTTTTGAAGAGTCCGTGTTCGCACTTATGTCACGCTTAACAAAAGCCGATGGAATCACATTTGTCTTACTTGGGAAAACACGAACGGTGTGTGGCAGTTGTATAAGAATGGTCAGCTCGTAGAAAATGGAACAGGTATGTCGAAAAACTACGTGATTCTATCTGGGGGAACTGCTGTCATCGGACAAGATCAAGATAAAATGGGCGGAGGTTTCAGGAAGAAGGATGCGTTTGGACCTGGTGAGGTCACAGAACTCAATCTGTGGGATAGCGTCCTTTCAGCGAGTGATATTGCTGCTCAGCACACAAACTGCACCCTCACCACAGGATTGGTGCATTTCTGGGCGCAGTTTAAAGATGGTGTTAACGGCGCTGCGCAAGTAGAGCAGCCTTGATCTAAACACATGGATCTAGATATCTAATTCTAAGGGTGCGTTCCTTTTGGATGATCTGGATCAGGGTCAGTGAACCAAGATCACTCAGATCATGGTGCATCAAAGGAACCGACGAATCCACTCTGGAGGAACCAATGAATCCACTCTGGTCATGAATTCATCGGTTCCTTTGATATACCATGATCCGGAGTGATCTTGGATCACTGATGCTGATCCAGATCACCCCAAAGGTACACACCTCAAGTGATCAGCTGCATTTCTGCTATTTGCCGGTAGTAGTTTGATTGGTGTATAAATGAAGCACAAGACACTTATTTCAACTGAAGCTAAATCACAGGTTTACAAGACAACAGTACTATTTAGAGCCTTATAAGTCGAAATGACACATCGTAGCCTAACGTGGTATATTTGTAAACAAGCGATGGACAAAGCGGAAATCTGTGGAACATGTTAACGAAACGGGACTTCGAGCCGACGAGAGTATAATTAACGAAAACGCCTAAATCTGACTATCCTGTACTATAGGCGACTTAATGATCTCGCCATCTTTATATTCAAGACTTCAAGACACGATTTAACACCGCAGTTATGTACACAATTTCAGCAGCTAAGAAATTAAAGTCGACGTAACCAGCTTCCAGTTGTCTTGATAGCTCAGTTGGTAGAGCACTGCACTGACATCGCAGAGGTCATGGGTTCGAATCCCGTTCAAGCCTGAACGGCTTTTTTCAGGCTTTTTTCAGGCTTTAATTTCAAAGCTGCTAAATTTGTTTATAAAACTTTGATGATCAATCATGTCTGCATAACTTTCTCGGCAGTTCAACTGATATATGATCTTTCATGGCTTTCACTTGTACAGCGGAAATCGTAACGGGACTTCGAGCAGACGACTCTATAAATGACGAAAACTCTTAATCTAACTACCCTGTACTAAAAGCGACTTTACGATGTCGCTATCTTTATATTAAAAGTCAACAAAGACTGCTGCCGATGACCTGATTAGACTGAATTATTTAGCCGCGAGGCATCTTGTCAAGACTAAAGTAACTTGAGGCTCGATGAGATTTAACGCCAGCAAGCTACGAAAACATTCGTTCAGGTGCAAACCGTTGGTCTAAGTTCCGCCTAAGTAATTAATTAACTAACGTTGGGCCTGGACGTCACTGATAGAGACCGAACAACCTTAAACTACATAGCTAGGCGTATATTCCACGTTAAATAAAGTTTGTATTGTATTGTAACGTTAACGACAGTTGTAACCGATACTTGTAAGATCTTACCAGGGTGATCAAAGGTGCGACACGCAAAGCAGCTGACCCACCCTGACCAAGGGCTGTAATTAATTTAAACTCAACAAGGTAATAAGTTGACTGGTACTGGTAGCTGACTATTGTGTAACACTTTGCAGCTCTATATAGGTGTTTACAGTGGAATCCCGATTTCTCAAACCCTCATTTTTTCGAACCTCCTGATAACTCGAACGAAAAGTCGTCTCCTTCTCCTCATTCAAACACTTTAATTTTACCCTCGATTTCTCGAACTATCCGATTTTTCGAACCAATTTTCGTTTCCTTTGGAGGTTCGAAATTCCACTGTAAATATTATATAACTGAGAAAAGTACGAATTTGTGATTGGCTGAGAGCAGGCAAATTTATCGTTAGCTATTAGTTTACACTCAGGCGTAAATTATAGCAGGCGCGTTCGTAATTTTCCCAGTTATATACAATAAAAGAGTAATTGCAACTCGAGTAACGGACTAACAGTACTCGTGCAAATTGAAAATTCTTTCAAATTGTCCTCGCCTAGATGCTCTTGCAATTTTGAGAGAATTTTCTTTGTTGCTACACGGTGCTGACAAAACCCAACCTGTTGGAAGTAGCCGCTCACGATTGCATCTTGGCTTTCAGTATGGACCCTATCATATCGTGTCGTTGTCGCGTTTAAAAGTTTTCTACTTATTATTTGCAGCCTTGCTTGACTGTATTTCTGTTGTTGGCTGATCAGATCTTTCACAAATCCTATGTATACCAGCAGCATTTTCGTGTACGGTGCCTTGCCAGATCTACATATCACTTGAAATATATCACTCACTGTGTAAATCCATAATCAGTGCACTCGCATTCATACCATTAACAATACGTGTGTGAGTAGGATTAACTTTGTAATTATAGTAGTTTATGGGTGTCTCCAATTCTGGCATGTTAGAAACTTAGCTAAGTTTAGACACATCAGTTAAGTTTTTTTGTGGTTATAATTTTCCAGTTTCAAACTAAGTTCAAGCCTTATTTCAAGGCGCTAGGGGTTTGTAAAAAGAGTGCACATCTTTCTCGCTGACTCGTCCCAAAAACTAAACTGTCTTACCTCTCTGCTAATTACTTTTTAGGAGATAGTTGAAATCTTTTGTTCCTTTCCTATCCTTGTGAGTTAACTGTTGTGTACAGAAGGCACTTAATTTTCCTTTTCAACGGCAACGGGCACTAATCAATTCTTCAATGGGTTGCATGCCAGCTCAGAATCGTAGATCAACTGACAATTATACCGAATCTTAGAGCACTAATGACATATATTATGGTTGATCGGAGACTTTAATAGTAAGGCAACCATACATCAGTTATGTTAATTTCGAATTAATTGTTAATCCTAGGGAGATGATTGAGTTTGCAGAGATTTCCTGCTACCATATGCTGTAACTGAATTCAGGACACCGTTAAATATGTGGCAAATAAATATATTGAAGAATTTTCATAAATTCGCCCTCCAGCCATCGGCCAAACAGAAAAGTATTGAGGTTAAGTTTCGGCAACTTCGAACAAAGATCCTTTCTAAGTAAACAATCCATTAATTCGTAGTCTCAGTTAATAAATAATAAATGATGTTAGGCTGTTACTAGTATGTCTGGGAAGTTAGGACAAAGTCAAGATCCATTTTGCTAGTCATGAATGGATTCGTGCCGTTATCAGCAAGTATGTTTATCTACTTTACTCGTCAGATTTTAGATGATGGCCTTTGTGACGCCACTTATTTGGCTGGTCTTCATCGCGACCCGAACAAACAACTGAGATTTGCCTAATTCAGAGCGCATTTTAATCATGTTCTTGACGTTCCAAAAATTGAAGGAGTCGCTGTTCAAACGGGAGGTCAATGCCTGCTGCGGTGCGTAAATAACAATCGCTGTTTTTCCAGAAACGTTGGAAATTGAAGATCAATTTACCTGTTCTGGAAACCTTAGAAACGTTTCTCGTGAACACAAGTAACAATTTTCGAAAGTAATGTATATCGTACATCTATTTCCGAACTTGATCTAAATTAGTTCGTATGGTGTGATCGTCCGGGTGAGGGTAGTTCTGAAAAGAACTGTTGTTGATGACTGACGTTTCGACAACCTGAGCGGAATTCATTTTCAGAGTCAAGTGAATAGTTTTTGTCAGTCGATGATGTTATAAGTCTGGTCCGTTGAACATGATTGGTCAGTTTAGCCATGATGGTATTGGCTGAAAGA